AGAGAGAGAGAGAGACCGAGTGAGAGAAAAAATGAGAGACGGGGAGGGGGAGAAGCGCAAATATACTTAGCAAGAAAAGTATAGCATATCTCAAATATAACATTATGCTAAAATGAAATTGAAAAGAAATAAAATACCCGGGAAAATTCAAATTACATGTACTAGCAAATGCACTTCGGTTCTATCTGAACATTGGCACTCAATCCTTTAAAAAGAAAAGTTCTAAATTTCAAATTCTTAATTAATGTAAAAGTGGCATTGACAATATGAGCAAAAGCACCAACTTCGACCAACAGAGTCATAGATAGATAGATACTTATAAAAATAATAGATAGCATTTGTATAGCGCAAATACCCGCTCAACAGCAAGCTCTAAGCGCTTCGCATTCTATACTATTACCCCAGCAGACCTGAGAGCATTCTGAAACAACCTCAACTTCCTGGGAAGCATACAGTGAAAGCAGCCATTTAAAGGCGCTAAAACACTAACATACTGACAAGATCTTTCGCTGTCTATGGCCGGGTACCCATTCATATCTGGGTGAAGTGGGGAAAATTCGAGTAAAGTGCCTTTCCCAAGGACACAACATCAGGCCGCGGCTCGAAACCCCGAACCCGCAACCTCACGATTACGAGTCCGGTAGCCTAACCACTAGGCCACCGACGCCACAATATACATACATACTGTGTGCTTGCAAATCTGGGCGAGAATATCCCCCCCCCCCCTCCCACGAGTCTGCGATTTGATAAGTTTAGTGGGCGGTAGGGATCACCTGAGTAGTGACAGATGTTATTTAATTAATGTCCCGCCCGGAGATAGGTCAACATCATTGCCGTCATTTGTCGTAGCCATTTGTCAAAATAGAAGGTTTTCAGGAGAAACAAAAATCTGTTATATTTCAGGCATGACACTATGTTAATACAAATTGATTAATTCGCCTAAACCCATTACTATTTCAAGAAGAGAGAGGAGCTAGGATCAATCGATTCATGTTATCAAACTTTACAACATTGATCTCATTGGTTTTCATATTTTCGAAATTATGACATACTGCAATATTGGATGAAGGCAACGCGACAGCATGTAGGAGGGTGGTATGAAAATTATATCCTCTTGAAGATGGCAAAAAAGGGTACTGGCGATTAAACAGTTGACAAGCATAATTTGACTAATATTATAACCACTTCTCACACAGTAACCACCAATATTTTTCTTTATTCACAACATAAAGGTCATTTAAATCATGAAAAGTTTTGGATGTGCTGATAAACAGAAACGAATAATGAAACATGTGGAGAGAAGGAAAAGTAGAATAAAAACAAATAAATAAATAGATAAATTAATAAATATAAATAAATAAATCAGACTAAAAAGAGAGGGAAGAAAAGAAACTTGTTTTAGGCCTATCTATGAAATAAAAATGTACACATCCATTTTCTTATTAACGAAACATTATTTTTGTTACAACATGACATTCATTTGGCTATCTTCTGCTCGGCGAAATCAAACCTGAATCGAGGGAAAAAAACAACCAAAATGGTTTCCGCATTTACTTGCAATAACCAGTAAAATGTCACGTCCTTACTATTAAAAATGATGATGCTTTTTGCTGTTTTTTAAATTATTGAGGGTGGGGGATATTTGTTGCTGTTGTTTTTCTTTGGGAGGTGTTTTGTTTTTTCTCTAACTTGTTTCAGGAGGACTTGTGATCATGGTGCTTCCTCTGGCACACAAGAACCGGGCAGTGGGCGTGGTGAAGGACGTAGTTGGAGACTGAGCCAACCAGCGTGCGCCTGACGGTGCCTAAACCACGTGAGCCGGTGATGATGAGATTGGCCTTGTTCTCGTCTGCTGCTTTCACGATGGCGTGGCCGGCGTCGCCCGTGAGTCGCATGAGTCTGGCAGATACCTGGGGACAGCAGTTTGATAACGCGATGTCAGAAGGTTTTTTGTTTTTTATTGTTGTTTTTTTGTGTGTTTTGTAAGCGTTTTAAAGCTCTCACAACTGTATGGTCATATGAGTCTGGCAGATACCTGGGGACAGTGTTTTGATTACGGTGACGACAGAATTTAAAAAATAATATTGTTGTTGTTTTAGTAGATGCTTTACAGCGTTCGCAACTGCATAAGGTCAAATGAGCGCCACGGGGTTGATGTCAACTCATCTCTCTAGCTTCAACAGCTCAAAGTCTGCTTCGACTATCAAGGCATCCCGGAAATAGCGGGTCACAAGAGAGTGACAAACATACAAAAGAAGTAGAGGAAAAATTACGATAGTAAGGATTAGGAAAGAAAAAGCAGCAGTTCCCTGTTGCAGTTCAGGCCCAGTTATGAGCATGACTTTGATGAATCAGCCCAATTACAATTCTACTCTGCTTAAGAACAAGTCAAAGCCC